AAACTTAGCCCCAGATTTTATGGCCCTTACGAAATCATAGAAAAGCTGAACTCTGTGGCTTTCAAACTCAAGCTGCCTAGTGATTGTAGAATACATCCTGTATTCCATATTTCCTTGCTTAAGAAGATGTTGAAACCTACTGTCCATTATCAAGAACTTCCTAGTTGTCTTACAGAAGATTGTGAACTACGAGTACAACCTGCAGATATTAGAGAAGTCAGAATGAATCCAAAAGGGAAGAGGGAACTCCTGGTACATTGGCAGGGACTTCCAGAATTTGAGAACTCCTGGGAAGAAGAACAGACAATCAAAGAGCAATTTCCAGATTTTCAACTTGTGGGCAAGTTGGATGTGCAGGAGGGGAGTATTGATAGAGACACGTGTGCAGCTATCAAGAAGGATAGATACTATGGTCAAGTTTACTCTAGAAGGAATAGATTAGCGGTTTGATAGTTATTTTCATTTAAATAATTGTAACTGCTTTTCATAGTGGGAGGGAACTTTAAATAGAATAAGGAGAGTAACGGAAGGCAGGCAGTTAGATCTTCGGATAGGGACTGGGAGGAGTGGAGACGTGTTGTCTCTTTCCTTGGGACTGCGTACGTTGTTTTCCACGCTAGGAAAACTGTATTTGACGTTGGCTTTTACTCTATTATTGCTCTACTGTCACTGCACGGTCGTTTTCTTCCCCTGTGTACTCTATCAGAGGGCAAGGTGGATGTTTAAGGGGGGAGTATTGTTAGGGGCCATGTTAGAGATCTCACCCGTACAGAACAATTACAGTAGCTTAACAAGAAAACCAAACTGAATTCTTATTTGATGAAGAAGATCGGTTACACAGAGAAGCAGTAACAAAGGCCGAAGCCTCCCAAAAGAGAAGAGAATAACTCTCTAATCTTTCCCAGTCCAAAAGTCCCAAAAGCCTCCTTACTAATTCCCCCCTCCCGTCTATTTATACTATCCTCAAGTACCCATTGCTAATATTCTTATTAATACTTCTATTATTAGTCTAATATAAGAGGGTTCCTAACAATACTCCCCCCCTAAACTTCCACCTTGCCCTCAAGGTGGGTTATAGGAAACATCTACAATCTTCGGCTTCCTCTTCCTCTTCCTTCCCAATATCTAACTGGTTGATGGACTAAGGACTTCAGTACGGGATCTTTTAAAATCATAGAACTTTCAGTAGTAGAAGAGATTTGAAGTGAAGTTTCATTCGGCTCAGTCTCTATCCAGCAGTCCCTTAAAGTTTCTAGCATGCTAGTACTGAGATGCATACTTCCAGCTGCAGTTTTCATAACCAAAGAACAGGAAAGCTTATTTCCTATGTAAAACTTCCAAAGTTGGGTTTCTTGTAGGTAGGCAGATTCTTCACCAGGAAAAGACATGGCCATTTTCAATTCTTGTTCCAATTTCAGCTTTTCTTTGGTTCCATTATATTGCTCTACAAAATTTCCCACTGACTTCTCCTTTAAGGAATCTGTAATTCTGAGCTTCCCTGTTAACAAGCCACCCCTCCAGTTTGTAGGCAAATCAAGGGTACTTGAATCTTTTCCCTTCAATTGCACTATAACAAAATAATCAACTGGAGAATAGTATTGAAGATCCTTTAAGATATAAGGGGCAGACAGTCTCTCTTCAACCTTGGGTTTCAAACTTGCTTTAAACATAGTAGATTGCATCCCAGCAATCGATTTCTGATTATACCCTGCTGTTTCAGCCTCATTATCCTCAATAACAAGCCTTCCAGTCCAATCCTTATCTCTTTTCCTGAGTATTTTGTGTCTTGGACCAGTTCTATCTTGAACAGGTACATAATCTACTGGTAGTTCCATAAACACTTCACCTCCTATAATGGCCTCGGGAACAAGACCAGGATTGAGATCTTTAACAAGCATCAGATATATGACAACTCCATCACCAGACACATATCCCTCATCTTCTGTAATATTCCCAGAAAACTTTCCTTCCACTCCATTTTGCTTATCTATCCTATAAATAACACTCACATTTGAAACCATCAAACTTGTTCACTGACTTCAGCCCTTCCAAATTAATGTTAAATGCCTGACAGTCCATCATTACAAATTTTAAAGCATTAAGCCAGTTCCTCTCCTGTACAAACCCAAAAGTCATTGTGCACTTTCTTACACGAATATCACTATCATATACCTGCAGAATATCAACTTCACTATTCCCTGAAACTGTTGGTGCCACTTGCTTCAATTCAGTATGAATTTCCAGAATTATAGTCCCTTTTAATCCTTTTAATGATGCGGCTATGATTGTAAATTCTGAAACGGATGATTCATGTTGGCATGTTGACATTAGCACCCTGGGAGATATGGCTTGCAATGACCTCTGCGAATGAAGAGACAAGTCTGGCGCAGGGTAAGAATCTACTTGTGATAACAATAGAAGATGCTCGGTTAGCAATGGCGAACAGAGACTTCGCGACTGCGAACTAGGGATTTCTACTAGAGTCGAAGCCAGAGGTCCGGAATGAGTATCTTGCGACTGAGACGGACCTTTGCTTTTCGAATTCACACAGCGACGTACCTTCCTCGATCGTCCTCGCCGGTGATGTTGTTTGCTCTTCGCACGTTTCTCCTTCTCTAGGCTTGAGTGTTTCTCTTTCTCCAGGTTTGAGCGATTTTCTTTCTCCGGTTTTAAGCTCTTCTCCTTCTCCACTTTTACGCGCTCCATCGTTTCCGCGATTTTCCCCAAATTTCCGCTCAGATCCTTTCGCGAGTGCGAAACAGTTAGCGGCTCCTGCGATTTCTTCTGCGACTTAGTGAGCGATTGCGACGGACTCTGCTTGTCACATAGACGATGATGCCTGGTGTTGCTCGATCGATCTCCATGTTCCTTTCGAAGCTTCGGTTCTTGATGCGACGTACCAGAAGTGTGCGATTGATTCATCGATCGACTTTGAAGTCTGTTTTGTATTTCCGCGATGCTAGCTTGCATAGCTACCATCGTCTTCGCCATATCAGCTTGCCTAGCTGCTGTCTCTCTCAGATTTCTTTCTATATCCGTCACACGTCCTTCCATCTTCCCAAGATAGACGTGCTCTGATACCAATGTTAGAGATCTCACCAGTACAGAACAATTACAGTAGATTAACAAGAAAACCAAACTGAATTCTTATTTGATGAAGAAGATCGGTTACACAGAGAAGCAGTAACAAAGGCCGAAGCCTCCCAAAAGAGAAGAGAATAACTCTCTAATCTTTCCCAGTCCAAAAGTCCCAAAAGCCTCCTTACTAATTCCCCCCTCCCGTCTATTTATACTATACAATACCTCAAGTACCCATTGCTAATATTCTTATTAATACTTCTATTATTAGTCTAATATAAGAGGGTTCCTAACAGACCGGGCCTATAGATACTAAGAATAAAGGACCGGGCCTATTAGAGTATTAATAAGAATAAAGTGTACAAGTTTAGTATAAATAGAAGATAGCAGGGGAGATTTAGGAGCCTGTTTAGACTTTATCATTCTGGGACTTGGGAAGATCGAGAGCTATTCTCTTTCTTTTGGGGGGCTTCGGCTCAATTGGGGGCTTCGGCCATTGGTTACAATTACTGTTCTTCTTCTCTAATAAAATTGCAGTTAGTTTTCTTGAATCTTCTTCTATAATCTTCTGTATTACTGTACATTCTTATCACTGCGCCACGATGATCACCATGCGCCATGACAACTTTGTCGTGTGGAGGATTGATCTACTTTCATCATTTTTTACCATTTTATCTTTTATCTTCTTTATCTTTGTTATATTCTTCATCCTTTTATCTTTTTCTTCTTATTTTTATCCTTTCTATCTTATCATCTTTATCTTTTTATCATATATTATATGTTTATCTTTCTTATCTTTTAATCTCCGGTTTCATTTATAGATTCATGTTAGCCGACCACAAACTCTTTTGGGACTAAGGATTGGATGTTGTTATTGCTATTGATTTTCTCCAATAATTGAATCCAATACATGTATTTATTTTTTGCGTGTACTGATTTTCATGACTTCAATTTCACCAAAGAAAGCAGAGAACAGCAAAATACTGGATAGAAAATGATAAGCTTGAACTTTTCAATCCAGTATGAATTGAAGCTTAATGTGTAATGTGTAGATGTGAGTTAATCTTGTACTTTTCAAATAACTTAAGTTTTTATGCTAAGCTGCTAAAATTTGATACCTTATTTGTATACTTGACCACCTCATAAACATGGTTGGAAGGTGGCATCGGGGTTTGTGTATATCTGCACCAATGTCTCATGGCCCTTTTCTGGATTCATTCTCTCTGAAGTTCAAAGCGCCTAGAGCTCTTTTAGTTCAAACAAAAAATGGTGCTTTGTGGAGGACTGTAGGCCTGATTATTTCTTTTGTTGTGGTCAACTGTCATAGGTTGGAGTACTCTTTAGTTTAGTGGGTTTTGATTTGTGCCGTTTCTTGTCAAGAAGCCACTACAACATATACATTTGCGTGTGTGTAGTTTCAATAAAAGTGAATCTTAGGTGAATACAAATTCATCTTGGTCATTGATCTTTAAAAATGTTTGGACAGAAATGGGGGGACAGATCAATTTGTAAGGCAGGAATATGTAGTCACTGGTCAGTATGTCAACTTTTGGCGTATATAGGTAATGATAAAGTGCATAGTTTGATCGTTGTATACATAAGAAAACATTGATATACAAAAAAGATAACCATGTCTGAAATTTTGCGGGCAACTTGAATAGTGTTATGGCTATTTGTAGGCAGACCTAAATGCACACGTGTATAAGAATTCTGTTCATTAGTTGGTGCACATTAAATGTCCACATATTTATGATTATGCTCACACATCTTTAATAAATACTGATATAGTTCATCCACTACATGTAGGGCATGAACTTATTCTGATTTTTTATAATATGATTTTGTTTGATCCTTCCTACATATGATTGTATGTATATGGGTATAATTTCAATATCATAGAAGTTAAAATCTGTTTTTTACAGGATTCCTTAATACAACCTATAACAAGAGTACTGGTTGGGGTTGCTGCTATTACCATAATGATTGTATTGGTGATGACAGAGACCCCCGAATGGGCCAAAAAGTTGAACTTCTCTGGCGGACGCATCCCTCCATGGATCCTAGCTTGTGCAGTCATTGTGTTCACGCGTATGAGGAAGAGAACCAAGGACTTCTTAGAAAGACGTCGCTAGGTGTTTAACGGGTTACACTAGTTCACAAGTCGTCTATAATTTTGTGAGATTGGCGTGGCATCATGTTTTCTATAATATGTAAAAATGACCCTGTTTGGTGTGATAAGATACAAGCAGAGTTCCACAATGATGGTACTCGGGAAAGATGCACACATAAACCATTACACGGAAAATATATTACCATGTGACGAGTTTGTTCACAAGCTTTTGTGATGTCAATGCTATAATTTACACGCTGTATCTCCTAGTTCCTCACTACATCCTCTTCCTCACACAACAGGAACATGTTTTTTTTTTTGTCCGCAGCAGTTGCACCCTTGAACCCTTTAAAATTTAAATGTACTCTCAAGTTGTGTAAAAGCACTTGTTTAGTTATTTTAGTCGTTTATAGTATAAACCAGTTGTCATTGCATTAGGAGTAGAAATGACAATTGTAACCGATTCGATGGATACTTGCACCTAGGGATGGACTCATGGACCCGGGCCGATCCGGTTCCGGTTCCGAGCCGGGCTCGGGCGGGCTTTTTTTGCAAATCCTTGGGCCCGGAACCGGCCCGGGTTGATATCGGGGCCGGGTCGGGCCCGGTTCAATGTCTAATTTTTCTTTTTTTGCTTTCTTGTTATCCCCCGACCCCCCCCTCACCCCCACCCCAAACCTCCCCAAAACACCCAGCCCTACCCTAGGAAAAGAAAAAAAACTGAAAAAAAAAATTGACCAGGGCTCGGCCCGAACTGCCCGGGCCGGTTCGCCCAAAACTGGGCCTGAGCCTGGCCCGCCCGACCTGCCCAAACGGGCTAAAAGCCCGGAACCGGCCAACCGGTCCCGGTCCGGTCTGGACCCGCACAGTAGTGGGCCGGTTCCGGGCCGGTTTAGTCCATCCCTACTTGCAACGAATCGCCCCGGTCAAAATGGGGAAAACCGCATTGACCGGGTAATGGGTATGGGCGGGGAATACTTGTTTTGATTTTACGTGTAACGGGGCGGTTACGGTTTTATACATGTCCGCCCCATTACCCGCCCTATACCCGCCCCATTATTTTTGGCTATATTTTGATTATCTATTATTTATCTCACAACTACTAAAAGATAAGTTTTTTCCATTTTCATTGTGTATAACTGTATATATGAATAATAAATAATTAACTATAGTGTATGAATGAAAGTCCTTAATAGGTCTTATTAGTCTTGTTTGATTATTATCATATTTTTTTTGTGATTAATATTTTTCATATTAAGTATTTTTAGGTTCAAATTAATTTAGGTTGTCTTCTTTCTGGTCTTGTAGATATATGAAACTTGAAAGTGGCGTATGAGTCTAGAGTCGTCTAGGTGATGCCGTTTTTCTCCTTTTAAAAATTATTTTTATATTAAAATATTAATGACTCATTTAATAAACCGATTAGCTGTGATTACCCGCGGTTATACCTGTTATTCGTTGGGGCGGTTATGGTTTGGATAAAAATTACCTGTTGGGTAATGGGACGGTTACATGGCGGGAGAATTACCCAACGGGGTGTAGGAGTGGACTCGGGTCGGGCCAACCGGTCTGGAACCGGACCGGCCCGCTACTGTGCGGGCCCGGACCGGCCTGGTGAACCGGTTGGTGCCCGGTTCGGGCCACCCGGCCCGGTGAGGTAGGCGGGTTGGGCCCAGCCGGTTCAGGTCCGGTCCGGGCCAAATTATTTTTTTTGTTCTTTTTTTTATTATTTTTTTTAAGTTTTTGAGTTGGGCTGGATATGATGGGCCATTTGAGGTGGTTTGGGATGGTTTGGGGGTGAGGGGGGGAGGGTTGGGGGTTAATTAGGAAAAGCCAAAAAAAAAAAAATATAAGAACCGAGGCCCGGTCTGGTTCCGGGCCTCCCCTTTCATGAACCGAGGCCCGATCGGGCTCAGGCCCGAACCGGGTCCGAACCGGAACCGGTCCACCCCTAACGGGGTGGGTACGATTATATGTAAAATCGTCCTCGATCTGCCCCGTTTTCATCCCTAATTAGGAGTTGGGAGTGGGCAAACGGGTACAGGAACCGCAGGATGGACTGAGTAATACAAGTTCCGGACGGGTTTGTGTAGGGTTCTAATTTTTGAAAACTCAAACAGGGTGGGTCTTAAATAATTTAGGGACCAAATGATCGAATATTAAAATTTGAAAACATGCCGGATAGACTCGTTTTAAAATATTATTTTAATAAATTCTGTTATATTTAATATAATATATACTAGCAACACATGCAAGTTCTTTTTGTTCATGAGTCTATTAAAAAGTGTTTCAAAGTAGATATTAACTCTTAAATTATTACACCAATTCTCCATTACAAATGCATCAAATTTTCTTTATTTAATCTTTTTGTAAGCAAGCACTCTTACTCGGTGAAGTCTGATATATTCATTTCATTATCTTAATTTTACTTATATTTTGAGATTTGGTATACCTTAAATTATTTTCTTAGACATATGTATAGTGACTAGTTTAATTTCTTAGACTTTGTGGTGCTACCTTTTTAAATTATTCATTTCAAAATTTGATGTTATTTAATTTGTGTGATTGTGTGCTATATAATTTATAGATTTGTGGTTACATATCTTGTTTACTAATTTCATACTTTTTGTTTTATATTTGTACTAGTTTAGTAACGCGCGATGCGCGTTCGTGTAAATGCCCAAGACTATTGTAGGCTTATTAATTGATAGTCGAGTTAGATTGAGTGAATACGTGAGTATTATGGGTAAACTATTTGTATACTTTGTTTGTTGAAAATCGATAAGAAACCATAATGAATAAAATCATTGTAGCCCCGATTGTATGTGGGAAAATAAAGCAACCAAAATGATTATAATAACCATTGTTGAAGGTAAGTCCCGTAGATCCGAAAGCCCAACACGAACTTTGGATATATCAGGAATGGACCAGAATCGAAGTGTATCACAAAATATAAAGTATGAATCCTCTAATATCCAAAAGCTCACTTGTATTAATTAACCTGTCTGATTACAAGGAAATATCCCGATCGGTAGGTCGGAACAGTGCTTTAATACAGGAAACAAGAGTAATAATGCTATTCTATAGTATGAGTATTGAAATGCTAACCCTTACGATGATTTTAAACATTCTATTTATACTAATGGAAAGCATGGGCTGCTCTATGCTGATTGGCCGTTGTTCCACTGACTTGATCACCCATGTTTCCTCTTGCTGATGTCAAAATCTGGCATTAATTGCACCTGGCCACTTGCTGGTTGTCCGTTGCTCGAACGGGATGTTGGACCATGCTGAAGACGTTGCCAAAATGGCCCAAGTATGATATATGGTCCGAACTCCGTTCGGTATATCTTCTTTCTGGGCCGGCCTTTACTTGGACCGAACCCTGTTCGGTATGGATCTACTCATCACAGGATAATGGACTCATCGTTTGGGCCGGGTATCCTGGGCCTGTTTGATCCGGGTATTGGGCCTCTGGATCAATATCCCAACACAAGTCCCCCACTTCCGATGTCTCGAATGATAGTGAGTGCATTAGGAAGTATGAACACCAATGTTGCCACTGCCGAATGGCGATCGGGGTACAGAAGTGGTCAGTCCCCCATACTGTGATTTGACGGATGTCGTTTTACTTTCCCCATATTCACCATGATAACCGTCGTTTAGTCTTTTCATTAGACACGTGTTTAGCTTAAATGCTTCTAGTGACGTGTCGCTTCCTGATTGGTCCTCGACACGGCGGTTCAAAGGCTATAAATTAGCCTTTAACTTTTCAAATCCGGGTTTCAATTTTGCAATTTCCTTCGCATCGTTGCTTTCTCTGAAATTTCTTCCAGCTTTCGTCGCTCAGGTACTTTCCCTCCCTCTACTTTCTCTCCTCATTTCTGGCTCGGTCGAGATGAGTTCTCAACGGCATTCCCCTGATTCGGAGATGGCCTCCCATGGAGATGACCGTGACGCTGCTATTGTGGACGTCATCATAGTCCCATTCGCCGGTGGTTCCACTGAAACGGCGACAAATACTAGGGCGGAGGCGGAGGACCTTCCTAGCAGTTCATCTTCCTCCGGTGAAAGCTCTGATGGCACGAAATCCGAGGATGAAATGGATTTAATGGCGGCTGGACGGCCAAAAGATGTCCCCCGTCATTCACTCGACCTAGGTTTAATTAGGGCAAGACGGCAAAAATTGACTGCCAATAATAGGGCCGAAATTCCGGCCCTAATCCCAGACCCAGTGGACTTTCGATTGCAAGCTGGGCTTCATCCCCTGCGTCACGCCCCCGAGATGGTAGTAGTCCATTTCGATTCAGTTAGGGTTGGGCTTAGATTTCCGTTACACTCCTTTTTTGTTTTTTTTTTAATTTTTATGAAATTGTACCTGCCCAAGTCATGCCGAACTCCTATCGGTCAATGGCGGGCTTTATTTGTCGTTGTAAAGATGTTGGTGCCTTGCCGACCCTAGATTTATTTCATCAATTTTTTAAAGTAGCCCCCAACAAACTCACAGGTATCTAGCCGTTAGTTTTCGAACGGGCCATATTCTATTCAAAGGCAATCCAACCTCAATCAAGGGATGGAAAGATAGATTCTTCTTCGTGTCTATCCCGGACGGGTTAATCCCTCATAAATGGAACGACTTCCCTCGCAAGACTCCTGACCCAGTTCTCACTGAGGAAATCTACAAGGATGTACTTGCTGTGGAGAAGGATAAATGCGTGGATATCATGAGTTATCTGACTCCCGATCGGCTAATCGAAGCCGGGATAGGTACTGCCCGTTCTCTTGGGTTTACTTGTTTTGAGAATCAAGTGCCATGGTCCGGACGGTCCTTCCCGTGCGAGAAACGTTCTCTTCTTTTTTTTCTAGTTTCTCACATGCTAAGGCCGCTCGGTACTAACGTTTTCCTTTGTCATTTTCAGCTCCCAATCCAGACGCCACCATGGATGATAGCCGTGTGCTTTTTGCTGGCGGGGTCGGGAAAAGGAAGAAGAAAATGAAGAAAAATCCCAAGGTTGATTCACCCACCACTACTACTCCACAATCCGAACCTGCATCGGCCGTTCAGCAACCGGAGTCTATTCAGCAATTTTCTGGTCAGGATCAGTATGATGCCATGATGATCGATGACCGATTTGGTTCTGATCAGCTGCACCAGTTTTCCCAACACTTTGATTCCGTTCAGGGGGCAACCTCGAACGTAGGCGGGATTCATACTGACCATATCACTGGTCAGGTCGAACGGATCTCTTTGTCGGATCCTGTTCATGAGGTGCTAGAGAGAGCTGGTTCTTCCGCGAGCCAGATCCGATCAACATCCTCCTGGTTTAACAATTTCTCTCTTCCCCAACTACCGGTCGAGCAATCCGAAGAGTGCCTGGCCTTGACCGCAGTGAAGGTATATTCTCTTTCGTGCTTTGTTCCCATTTTATTCTCTGTAATCATTCACTAACTTTCGAACGGCGCTTTATAGATGGGATTGTATACTCTGCAAAT